AAAAACACACTGGAGCCCTTCCTGTATCACCATGTGACATCACAAGGTGGAACTGAGTGTTTTCAGTTTGAGAGAAGGACTAACTAGAGCCTAAATCTGCAAAGTCTGTGAGCTGAAACATGTCTGAATGAAACAAAACACAACTCCGGGTCTGTTTTTGATGAGGAAAAACATGACACTAGTAAAAGAGATCTGAAAATACAGTAATATGGGACATTTTCATTGTAGTTGCTATGGTAACAGTCATATTTTTTCCATATTCCTGGACCCCACGGACAGGAAGAGCGTCATAGAAGATAAGAAAAGTCAGTTAGTAAAATCTCACTGACCCTCGTTGCTGGAGTCCAGGTTGATGGTATCGGCCGGCGGACTCTTGCTCATGGTGATCCGGCTCTTGGCTCTGGTCCTGGTCCTGGTCTTGGTCCTGGTCCTGGTCTGGCTGGTTTTGTCGGTCCGGTCCTGGAGTCTGGACTTGGGGCTTGGTCTGGGCTGGGGTCTAGACGGACTCAGCATGGGCGGTCTCCTCGCTCTCTCGGACTTCAACGAGAAAAAGAACAAGTTTGTAAGTGAGAAGTGGAAATAAAGACGAAATAAAAAACAAAAAGCAATAAAAGACAACATAAAAGACAAAATAAAGACGAAATAAAAAAATAAAAAAATAAAGAAAATAAAAAAAACATAAAAGAAAATAAAAAAATAAAAACAAAAAAAGAAAATAAATAAATAAATAAAAAAAGACAAAATAAAAACAATATAAAGATAAAATAAAAAAGATATAAAAACATAATAAAAATATAAAAGACAAAATAAAGATTAAATAAAAAACATAATAAAAGTATAAAAAATATAAAAAACTAAAAGACAACATAAAAGACAAAATAAAAACAAAAAAGACAAACTAAAGATAAAATAAAGCTGAAATAAAAACAAAATAAAAGACAAAAAAATAAAAGACAAATTAAAATAAAAACAAAATAAAGATAAAATAAAAAAATATAAAAAATTATAAAATTATAAAAGCCAAAATAAAAAAACAAACTAGACAAAATAAAGATGAAATAAAAGACAATATAAAAAGACTAAAAAAATACAAAATAAAAATATAAAAGACAATAAAAACAATATAAAAGACAAATTAAAGACAAAATAAAAAGCATAATAAAATGAAAAAATAAGACAATATAAAGACAACAGTCAATAGTCTGAATATACACAAACTGGATTTAAACTGCACATTTTCATTTTGCTGTGATCAGTGTGAGCGTTCATGGTTCTGTTCAGGAGTTTGGTGAGAGTGACTAAGTTTAGGGCGACCACATTTTCAAAATTCAAAACTGGGACACGCCTTGGTTGCCAGGTTTGGAATACTGTAAATAAAACTGTGATAAGAGCGTAATAATGTCCTCTCTGTTGACCCAGGACAGTCCCAGTTTTGAGTCTGTGTCCCCTGTCCCAGCCAATTTATCCAAAACCACTGATTTGTCCAAGTTTCATGCAAGAAATGTCTTGGGTGTACCTATTTTTGACCAATCTGATCCCTGTCAACAGTAAACAGAGGCAGACACTGTCATTTATTTCGGTAAAACACAGAAAAGCTGCTTAAAAACGACCAAAACAAAAAGAAAATGTGACTATACTGACTCACATTAGTGCCAAGTGCGTAATAATTTTCCTTAATTACGCACTCACAATTTCATTATTAAAATTATTGTGCCAGTTTTTTGTTGTTTTTTTTTATTTTGAAAATCTGTGTCACTCTAAATTTACGTAAAGCTTCGATCGAACCAGCGCCGCATTCTATGACACAGCACCGATAATGATTCAGACACAAAGTTTCATCTGAATTTAAGATCCAGCTCCAGTTTTTAAACACAAACTGAGTCTAAACTAAAGCAATAAACTCACCGAGGTCTTCATCTCAGGAGAAAACGCGCGCTGTGGGATGTTTTGGGCAGGTTTTGGGCACCGGTGTTCCGCAGAATCTCGCACCCGGACTAAATGGTTTGGTCCTCCTCCTTTTGCGGTTTCGATCTCACTTGGAATTAAAATCTAAACTAAACAGAAAAAAAAGAGTTCATATTAAACACGATTTATGACTAAATGTTAGATCTAGATGAGTTTTCTGCGTTAGAGCTGGACGAAGGTAAATAATGACAGCACGGGTGACAGTTTGATGCGTAACACCACAGCTCACCGGGCTAACAGCGGCTAAACCCGGAGCCGAACCGGGACCAGGCCCCGCGGACCCGGCCCAGGAGCGGGGCTGGAGGAGGAGGGGCCCAGAAAGGCTCCGGAGAACGAGAAAAAAAAAAGAAAAAGGGAACGACACGGAGCGAGGACAGAAGCGCAGATCAGACCCCAAAGCCCGGGCGATCCGCAGAGCTCAGACCTCCACCTCCACTACGCACAGGACGAGGCTCGCTCCGACGGCGGAAGTGACGTAAGCAGGAGCTACAACTAAAGATAAAGACGAAGATAAAGAGCGACACCTGCTGTTCATCCCGCAGTACTACTACTACTACTACTACTACTACTACTGCTACTACTACTACTACTGCTACTACTGCTACTACTACTACTACTGCTACTACTACTACTACTACTACTACTACTACTACTACTACTACTACTACTGCTACTACTACTACTGCTACTACTACTACTACTGCTACTACTACTACTACTACTGCTACTACTGCTACTACTACTACTACTACTACTACTACTACTGCTGCTACTACTACTACTACTGCTACTACTACTACTACTACTACTGCTACTACTACTACTACTGCTACTACTGCTACTACTACTACTACTACTGCTACTACTGCTACTACTACTTACTGCTACTACTACTACTACTACTACTACTACTACTAGCTACTACTACTACTGCTACTACTGCTACTACTACTACTACTACTGCTACTACTGCTACTACTACTACTACTACTACTACTACTGCTACTACTACTGCTACTACTACTACTACTACTACTGCTACTACTACTACTACTACTACTACTACTGCTACTACTACTACTACTGCTACTACTACTGCTACTACTGCTACTACTACTACTACTACTACTACTACTACTACTACTACTACTGCTACTACTACTACTACTACTACTACTACTACTACTGCTACTATCTGCTGGTTTAGACCAGGTTTTAGTCCTGGTTTAGTCCTGGTTTAGTTCTGGTTTGGTCCTGGTTTAGTCCTGGTTTAGTTCTGGTTTGGTCCTGGTTTAGTCCTGGTTTAGTTCTGGTTTGGTCCTGGTTTAGTCCTGGTTTAGACCTGGTTTAGTTCTGGTTTGGTCCTGGTTTAGTCCTGGTTTAGTCCTGGTTTAGTGTCCAGCAATTGGAATTACCAGAAAAAAGAAAAAAAAAGGGATATAGCCCGAAATGTTAAACAGTAAAACACCGCCGTGTAATCCATTTATTTCAACAAAGTAACTGTAATCCAATTACCACTCACTGAAACAGTAACTGTAACTAAATACAGTTACTCATCATTTGTACTCTGATTACATAACTCCAGTACATGTTATCTTTTTCTCCCCAACACTGACTATAATTACAACTTCAAATAACAAAAAACTATAGTTAAACACAAAAGAAGCTACACACTCTGTTTTAATTAAAGAAAAGATTTTATTCGTTTTAAATAAATCACGTCAAATGGATTTCTGTGTGTTGTAATGTTGTAGTTGTGGAGTTTCTCGTGTGATGCGCAGGTGGATTGTGGGTAGTGTAGTTTCTCGGGCTGGGCTTCAGACGGCGGGAGCGAGATCGGGCTGAGCTTCTTCAGAATCTGCTTTAAAACTCAGCCGTCATTAACCGCATCCTCAGCCCCTCGGCTCCTCCTCACCACGTCACGACAGAAAACACCGTCTGGAAATACAAAGAGGAAAAAAAAAGAGAAAATAAAGGCGACGAGGGACTTTTTGGATTTAAAATAAAACTTGGAACGCTCACTCAAACCTAAAGCTGAAATCTTACTCAAATATTCACAAATGTTTTATGGTTTGTGATTAAAGGGCCTAATTTTGCGCTATTTTCTGATCTGTGTTTTAAAGTTTCCTCATCACAAACAGACCTGGGGGGTTTCTGTCACAGTCGCTTCACAAATCCAGGCTTATCCTTTCTGAAATCCTGAGCAACGGCCAGAGCGACGGAGCAACGACATCACGGAAAATGAGCCAAAAATGTGATGTTTTTTATGATTTGATTAAACGATAGAGGAGCCACAGCGCACACCACACGCAGAGTTTGATTTGGGACACGGAACTTTTTGGGTCATTCTGATTTGAACGCTTGTGGGTAAAAACGACAAAATATTTTATCGGAAGTGCCTTTTTTTTAGACCAGGGGTGTTCACACTTTTTCATCATGTGAGCTACTTACAAAATGACCAAGTCAAAATGATCGACCTAATACAAAGTCAAACAAACTGCACTGAAACACTCTGTGCCCCTTTTTTGGACCCTCACCCACAGTTTGAGAACCTCTTCTTTAAGAGAACTTCCTCTGGCACTTTACACAAAACTGTGAAAAAAGTGAAGGAAGATTTTTAAACCTGTTTTTTTTAAAGTTCCAAACTGGAGTTTCATTCTTTTCTGGTTTTGCAGTGATATTTACCAGCCTCTGCACGTTTACCAAACCAAACACACATCGTGACAAACACAGATGCATTTGTGCACTTTTGTGCACGGCCTCCTGCTGGTGCCCAGAGTCAGGACTAAACAAGGGGAGTCAGAGTTTCAGGTTCATGCAGCTAAAACCTGGAAGAGTCTTCCTGAACATGTGAGACAGACTCTTCTGTGACGCTGTTTAAATCCAGACTCAAAACATTTCTGTTTAACTGTGCAAATAACTGAAAGGTTTTCATTCCGCACTCTTCTCTCCAATTTATGTCTCTCTTTTTTCATTTTAATCTTCATGATTATTTATGTTATGTATTTATGCGGTCGCTGTATCGGACCGTTGTGGTGAAGAGGAGCTGAGTCGAAAGGCGAAGCTCTCGATTTACCGGTCAGTCTTCGTTCCTACTCTCACCTCTGGTCATGAGCTCTGGGTAGTGACCGAAAGGACGAGATCGCGGATACAAGCGCTCGAAATGAGTTTCCTCCGCAGGGTGGCTGGGCGTCTCCCTTAGAGATAGGGTGAGGAGCTCAGTCACACGGGAGGAGCTCGGAGTAGAGCCGCTGCTCCTCCACGTCGAGAGGAGCCAGTTGAGGTGGCTCCTGGGCGTCTCCCTCGGGAGGTGTTCTGGGCATGTCCCACCAGGAGGAGGCCCCGGGGAAGACCCAGGACACGCTGGAGGGACTATGTCTCTCGGCTGGCCTGGGAACGCCTCGGGGTCCCCCCGGAGGAGCTGGAGGACGTGTCTGGGGTGAAGGAAGTCTGGGAGTCCCTGCTTAGGCTGCTCCCCCCGCGACCCGGCCCCGGATAAGCGGACGAAAATGGATGGATGGATGGATTATTTATGTTTTGATTTGTTTTTATTATGATTTTAATGTATTTCGTGTATTCTGTAAAGCACTTTGAATTACTTTGTGTATGAATTGTGCTGTACAAATAAACTTGCCTTGCCTTGTTATACAAACTTCAGCCAAATGTGGCAGTAGGTCTGTTCTGTAGATCCGCTCTATGCTGTAGACCTGCTTTGTGCCAACACTGGAACACAAATTTAGACTGGTTTTTACTTCACGTTTGGTCTTGCTCTTCTAATCAGCCGCACTGTGGGAGGGGCTTGTGTTGGCTGTACGCAGGAAGGAGCGAGAGCGTGAAAAGGCGAGGGGCGGCGTGCTGACGTGAGGCAGGTGGACAGGTAGGATGTTTAGGAAGTTGAACCTGCCCTGTGATGCACGCTGGTACACGAGGGCACACGCTGTCGCAGACGAGCCGTGCATAGGGAGCGTGTGTGTTTGTGATGCGCCGTAGAGTCTCCGCGGGTTTCAAATGAGCGCACAGGCTGCACTGAGACGCCCCACACGCTCCTGCACCCGCTACAAGTTTATTACCAACAGCAGCGGCCGGAATGAAATATGATCACACTTGTTGAGTGTCAGACCTCGAGTGAGAGACAAGACCGAGTCCAAACGCGATCTAGTCCGATATGAGACACAGTGATCTACCCACACGACCTTGGCGATCGACTGGTAGATCGCGATCGACGTATTGATCTAGACGGTGATGGCGTTTTTAGGGCTTAAAAACGAAAATCTGAATCCACCCTCCAGAGTGGAAAAGCTGAATACGCTCCGCCGTAGCGTTTCCGTCTACACTGCCCAAGACGAAAAACTCTGGTCAGGTCTGCTCAGGTCGTGTACGAGTTTACGTCACATACATCACCGCCGAGCCTCACCGCCTGGCATTCATACTGTTAAAAGAGTTTTTCAAACTTTGTACAGATGATTCTTTGTCTTATTTTATCAAAGGGTATTTCTCACGGGAAAACCAACTTCTCATTAACTGTTATCTTCCCCAAGGACAGTCCTCCCTACGCACATCCCTCCCTTACACCTCAGCAGCTGGCACACACACACACACACACACACACACACACACACACACACACACACACACACACACACACATTCTCTGTGTTTTTTTACTGTGATAGAAAAATGTAACCGCCCATTTATCCTTGTAACCTGTGTGATTCAATAAATACGTGACGTTGGACGGTGGTTCTTTCGGCCATTAAGAGCTGTAGCGTCGCCTCTGTCCCTCGCCGCGAGTAAAAACCCTGAACTCTGCCTTCTGAGTTTCTTTGTGTTAATATCTCTGTTATTTTCTGACACATACACAATCCAACTCCGCACTTTTTACACTTTTGCGTCACCGTGTGTGCGCAGATTTCCTCCTGAAAACGCTTGTCTAAACGCGGAATAAAAAGAGAAGACGCGACGCCGCTTCTGCGCCTGTGTGTGTGGAAAAGCTGCTCTGCTCCTCACAACAGACACTCTAACCCACAGGTGTCAAACATGCGGCCCGGGGGCCAGATCCGGCCCTCCAAGACCTTTAATCTGGCCCTCGGCTGATTTTCTACTAAAATATTTTAATGATATTTTCTATTAAAATGGTGTTAATTTTCTGTGGTGTTTATCACAGCAGCGTCTCCAGCGTCTCTGTACGTGGCCCCTCCCACCAGAGCAGCACAAATGAAGACTTGTCTCTTTCCAAACGCTCTTAAAGGACGATCGTTTTGACTGTTGACCGTGACACCCTCATCAGAAAAATGTCCAACATGAGAAAAGTGGAGCCGAGTGCAGGATTTTACAACAAAAATTGACTTATTCCTGTTTATACAAGTTAATGTTAAAACTTTGTGTTGAAATTGTATTTTTTCTTAAAGTTTCAGGTTGTTCATAATATTATAATATTTTGTAAAAGAAAGAGTTCATCAATTAAAAAAGATTTCTGTAATAGATTTGTGTTTCTCTGCACAAATATTTGAACTTATTGTTATTTTTGGGGTTTATATGACATGAGTTTTCTGATCCGGACACTTTGGGATCAAAGTCGGTTGGACACGACCCCCGGAACAAAATGAGTTTGACACGTCTGCTCTAACCTCTGACCCCTGACAACAGACACATGTGCAACAGCATTTGAATGAAATAATGGCCATAGACTTTTATGTGGTTTGTGTGATGAGTGCAGCGTCCACACGTGTCCAGTGAGTAGAAGCATTTGGACTGTAAAAGTCTCAAGCGACACGCGACTATAAAAGTCACTTTTTAAACTGTATCACACACACAGGTTTGTGACGCACGTGGTGAAACTTTCGACTAAACTGTTTCTCTAGACCAGGGGTGGGCAAACTATGGCCCGGGGCCCTTTAATGTTTTTAATCTGGCCCAACAAATATGAAGAAAATAATAATAATAATTTTCAATGTTTTAATAGTTATTTCAATAAATAGTAAACACCGTGGGTCTTGAAAGACAGATATTTTGTTGTAATGCTTTGTAATGATTTTCAATTATGGGATATTTCAATAAATATCAATAATTTTATTAATATTATTTTCTCGTATGAGGTGGATTACCAAAAAACTCCATCCATCTGCTCCTGGTCTGGCCCTTCCATCAAATTTTAGAACTCTTTGTGAATTAAAAAGTTTGCCCACCCCTGCTCTAGACGTTCTTGGAGACAAAGATAAAATAATCTTGACAGTTCGTCTGGTCCTGACCAAGTTTGTCTCTGGGGACTTGTTACTGCGGCAACTCAGGTCACCTCTGGTCAGTCAGTTCGGTGTAACAGAGGCTTTGATAATCCTGGATTGTCCGAATAAGACAGACTTTCACTTTAGCTCGCTTCATGGAACATCCCTCCTGGACTTCTGTTTTTGTTGTGTTTTTAAACTCCACACACGTTCACTAAAAGCATTTGGATCATTTCAGCTCTGGACTTGCCAATCTCTACTGAACAAAAGGTGAAATGTACTTGAAAACTACCACTTGACGACATCACAAGGTGGAACAGAGCATTTTAAGCTTTGGAGATATGGACAGACTAACAAAAAAGAGTTACTCAAACATGTGAATGGAACAAAACACAACTCCACGTCTGTTTTTGAGGAGGAAACAACATTAGAACACGACTTAAAGCCATCAGCCATAGTTACAGCGGCTCTTTTACCCAGTGTGAGACTTAGACCCAGGTCTAAGTGAAGACCGGGGCCTGGTTCATCTTCAGGTGGGAGTCCAGGATCTGGAAGAGCTCCTGCAGGTTCAGCACGTACCCGGAGTGCAGCTTAGACCAGACCGGAACATCTGTGAGTACAAAAGGAAAACCAGGATCAGGCTTACTGAGAACTGATCTAAAAAACTGTACAAACTTCATACATCAAGAACTAAAACAAAACTATTTTTACCTCCACCAAGGAGGTTATGTTTTTGCCGGCGTTTGTCTGTTTGTTTGTTTGTTTGTTTGTTTGTTTGTTTGTCTGTTTGTTTGTTTGTTTGTTAGCAACATAACTCAAAAAGTTATGGACCGATTTTGATGAAATTTTCAGGATTTGTTGGAAATGTGAAAAGGAAGAACTGATTTGATTTTGGGGATGATCCGGAAGAAATCCTGGATTCTGGATCACTTTGAAATTTTAGTTAACATTGTGGTAAATGGGGCCAAAAATTTTGTTTCTCAATATCTCGGGTTAATTATTGACCAAACCCCATGAAATTTGACTCAGGGATGGACAATGGGATCCTCTTTCATATTCCAAATTGAAAGATACGAGACAAATATTTATGGAAAACACAATTAATATGAGGGGGACTGTAGTCCTTGGCGGAGGTCTGCGCTCTCTGACTGCTTTTCTAGTTTTAACTAAAACTAACAAAAAGATCCATTTGTCTTCAGAGCAGAAAATTCTAAAATCTGTCCTATCAGATCACCGTGAAAGAAATAACCACATTATGAACTAGGATGAGTCACGGGACACTGGATCACAGAACAATAAGCAAATCGCACAGACTCATTAATTGTGATGACACAGCATTCCTCCTTTCACACACCTGGGACACTCCTCCAGAGACCAGCAGCCGAAACACAATAAAGTAAATACATCTCCTACTGTCTTTAAAAAGAACCTTTATTTTGGACTGTACCGTTGAGACTGATCTCGAAGGCTCCAGTGGACAGGAAGTGTGTCTCCAGCATGTTACAGACAAAAAAGGCCATGAGGCACGAGAAGATCTGAAAAAACACAACCACAACATCAAGATCAGGAGGGCTGGTGGTGCTGTCACGATACTAAAATGTCAAACTCTACACTAAGGAACAGACTCGATACTCAAAACCAATTCTGATACCAACAACGATAATAAAAAAAACAAAAACACTTTCTTTAGACAATATCCTGTGATTCTTCCTTATATCTGTGCAATCCGTCCGTGGTCCAGGACTAAACGAGGTCCATGGGCCTCGTTTAGTCTCTGTGTTCTTAAACTTGTTCTGATTCAGCTCCAGGTCGTTCTAAAGACGTTCAGGAAAGATTCTGCTCTGTCCTGTCAGTGTGACTTCTGTTTTTAGTATCGATATTTTTTATTTGTTTATTACAGGAGCCAAGTTTGTGTTTTGTCTCTGATGTAATGGGTATTGTACATTTGTCTAAAACTAGTTTAAAGCTGATCTAAAGCTGGTCTATAACCGGTCTCAAAATGGTCTAAAATTGGTCTAAAACCAGTTTAAAGCTGGTCCAAAATCGGTCTAAAACTGGTCTAACGCCGGTTTAAAGCTGGTCTAAAACTGGTCTAAAACTGATCTAAAACTGGTCTAAAACTGGTCTAAAACTGATTTAAAACTGATCTAAAGCTGGTTTAAAACTGGTCTACAATTGGTCTAAAATCAGTCTAAAACCAGTCTACAATTGGTCTAAAACTGGTCTACAATTGGTCTAAAACTGGTCTAAAACCAGTCTACAATTGGTCTAAAACCGGTCTAAAAATAGTTTAAAACTGGTCTAAAGCTGATCTAAAGTTGGTCTAAAACTGGTCCACAATCGGTCTAAAACTGGTCTATAATTGGTCTAAAACCGGTCAATAAATTGTTTAAAACTGGTCTAAAGCTGATCTAAAGTTGGTCTAAAACTGGTCTAAAATGGGTCTTAAACCGGTCTAAAACATGTCTAAAACTGGTCTAAAGCTGGTCTAAAACTGGTCCACAATGGGTCTAAAACTGGTCTACAATTGGTCTAAAACTGGTCAAAAATTTGTCTAAAACTGGTCTAAAACACATACAGGAACAGCAGTATCGATTAGTATTTGATTTTTTCAGTCCCTGAGGAGGGAGGGGGGAGAGAGACACTGGGATCCACCTTGTTCTGCTGTGTCCAAGTCCAGATCCGGGACCAGGACTCGGTGGGTTCTGCGTTCAAAAGTCTAAAAGGGCTGGTTCCAGAGACGATCAGGACCAAGGCCAAGAGCTTCAGGTAGAAAATCAGGTTCCCCAGGTATCTGCACGAGAAGTCAGGAGAATCACTACATCAACTTTTTTTTGGTGATTTTTATGTAATAAGTTCAGTTTGTGCTGTTCACAGGTGAAAAAAAACGTATGTGGCTAAATATTGGTTTGTTCTGTTATTTATTTGTTGCAGTTTATCGTTTATCAGTTTTTCTCTGTAGCTCGACTAGAACATCGTGCTTCAAAATCTGTGACAGACCTAGTCAAAGGGGCAGGGTTTGATCAGGACTGAACCGGTCTAAAACTGGTCCAAAACTGGTCTAAAACTGGTCTAAAACTGGTCTAAATCTGGTCTAAAACTGGTTTAAAATAGGTGTAAAACTGGTGTAAAATACCTCTAAAATAAATCTAAACCTGGTCTAAAGCTGGTCTAAAGCTGGTCTAAAATAGGTCTCAAATAAATCTAAAACTGGTCTAAAAAAAGTCTAAAACTAGTCTAAACTAGGTCTAAAACTGATCTAAAGCTGATCTAAAACTGGTCTAAAGCTGGTCTAAAGCTGGTCTAAAAAAAGTCTAAAACTAGTCTAAACTAGGTCTAAAACTGGTCTAAAACTGGTCTAAAACTGGTCTAAAGCTGGTCTAAAGCTGGTCTAAAAAAAGTCTAAAACTAGTCTAAACTAGGTCTAAAACTGGTCTAAAAAAAGTCTAAAACTGGTCTAAAAAAAGTCTAAAACTAGTCTAAACTAGGTCTAAAACTGGTCTAAAACTGGTCTAAAGCTGGTCTAAAGCTGGTCTAAAACTGGTCTAAAACTGGTCTAAAACTGGTCTAAAGCTGGTCTAAAACTGATCTAAAACTGGTCTAAAACTGGTCTAAAACTGGTCTAAAGCTGGTCTAAAACTGATGTAAAGCTGGTCTAAACCTGGTCTAAAACTGGTCTAAAGCTGGTCTAAAACTGATGTAAAACTGGTCTAAAGCTGGTCTAAAACTGATGTAAAGCTGGTCTAAAGCTGGTCTAAAACAGGTCTAAAACAGGTCAAAAACAGGTCAAAAACAGGTCTAAAACTGGTCTAATCTGTGTCTGGGAGGTACAGAAGTGTGTTGCTGTTGTGCGTTTACTTGTTTAAGGTGGTGGGGGGGTAGTTGCTTCCCTCGATCCGCAGCTCTGGGTAAATCTGGTTTATGGCCCTGGAATAGTCCTGGAACACTTTACTGTACCCTCAGGAAATACTGAAACACACAGACGTACGATATCACGATATTTCGGTTATTGTTACATCTCTAAGTAAAATATACCAAAAAATACTCTTGATGACATATCGATACAGCAGCACACGATATCGATACTGTATCGTCACATTAGGCGATACGTTATATCGATATTTTTGCACACGCCTGATTCTAACAGACCAACGTTAGTGTACAACAGGCCCTTTAAAGCGGTTTATAAGTGGCCTTAATAAATAAATCCTCTTGTCGTGCAGCAGGAGCCTGGAGGATTGTTTACATAGACCAGACATGTCAAAGTCAGGCCCGGGGGCCAAATTTGGCCCGTGATATAATTATATTTGGCCCGCAAGATCATATCAAATATGTATTAGAGCTGCCCGACGGCTACAGACAGACTATAGAGACATTATTTATTTAAAATTTGGGTAACACTTTAGATTAAAGACCACATATTAATAGCTACTTAATAGTAAAATGCATAATGTTATAAGTCCGATGTGCATGGGACTACGATACCCATCATGCATCTGTTTGTAGTTCCGGTACGCCTGGGCCCCAATAGTTCCGCTCTTGTTGCAGTAGAGCCTCGTGCTAGGCTTAAGCCCCTGTTCCTATTATTTGTGTGTATATTTAACGTGTGCGTTCATGCAGGGTGAGTATTTTGTAATTGAGTGTGAATGCATGTTTAGTTTGTTAGTTTATTCGAAATGTTTAGTTGTTAAATTCATACCGAGTTAATGCTGTAGCTATTACTGTGCGGCGCTCCCGTGGTTTACAGGGGCTCCGTGCACAATTTATTTAGTGTGTTGGAGCGCCCTCTTGTGGTTTTCTGTATAATAGCAGTTATTTTCCTGTTCATTTCATATCGTTTATTGTTCTCTAATGTATATATTATTGTTGTTTGTTTTTCAGATAACCACACACATACATACACACATACGCTCCCCATGTAACCATCAATAAACATCTTCGATAAACATCTACCTTGCATCAGTGGAGTTGCCTGTCCTTCTGATCGAGGACAACTCAGTTGAGGACAAAATCAGTAATCAGTGCATTCCGGACGCACACAGTACCTCACACATAATAAGTGATTAATTACATCTTTGTTAGTATTTATAAAGTACTTTTAATGTACTTTTGTCTAAGGCCATATTTTGTGAGTACTAACTCATTATGTATTTCCCTCTTAATTTAAGCAAAGACACTTGTAATTCGATATATTGTGATGGTCCACGATATTATTGTGTGAACTTCGACGATACGATATCGCCATATTTCGGTTATTGTTACGTCTCTAAGTAAAATATACAAAAAAAAAAAAATACTCTTGGCGACATGTCGATGCAGCAGCCCACGATATCGATACTGTATCATCACATTAGGCGATACGATATATTGATATTTGGGCATTTTTGCAGATAAAAAATAGTGCACAATAGGCCCTTTAAAGCGGTTTATAAGCTGGTTTAGTAAATAAATCCTCTCGCAGTGCAGCAGGAGCCTGGAGGATTGTTTACGTCGCCTGTTTACGCTTTTTACGCACCAGTACTGGAAGCGCAGCACCGGCCCCAGGCTCCCGGCGCCGCTCCAGGCTTTGGCCGCCCTCCCCGCCTTCTTCTCCCGCCGTGAACCTGCCACGATCGTCGGCCTCGTTCGTCGGGCCGCGCTGGTCACGGCTCTGCTCCCGGTTCATCCCCACGTACACGTCCTTCACGGTCAGAGCCGTGAACAGCAGCAGCGCCGCCAGTAATCCTCCGCCGCTGAACTCCGCCATCTGCCTCCGCCGTGTTATGCTCCGGCGGCTTCCGGTTTGACGTTTAGCAACTTCCGGAATATGACGGTTGCAATATTCTTGTAAAATGTTGAACACTTGGTTAATAATTTGATACTAAATTTGCAAATTTAATGCATTTCTTAAAGCAAAGCCAAATTTTATTGCTTTCCGAAATGACCTTCTGTCCCTGTAACAGAAAAAAAAAAAATAATAATAATAATAATAATAATAAATTAATAATAATAATAATAATAATAATATATCAATCAAATTACTTCACAGAATGAAATAATCCAAGCAGCGCCGTACAAAATAAATAAATAAATAAATAATAATACATAAATAAAATAAAGTAAATAAATCTGCTTATATTGTATGATGTCCTCTTGTTCAGTTTATCTTAGTTTATCTTATATTATATTTAATTTTATTTATTTATTTATTTTATTTTATTAATTTATTAATTTATTTTGTACAGTACTGCTTGGATTATTTCATTCTGTGAAGTACTTTTTATTTCCATTTTGATTACGTGAAATAAAAATAATAATAAATTAATAAAAACAAACATAATATTATTGTAAAATGTTTAATATTTGATTAAAAATTTGATACTTGTTGGCAAATTTAATACACAAATGTAGATTTCATAAAGTAAAGCGAAATTTCATTGCTTTCCAAAATTACCTCCGAAATGTCCTTGTATAACAGGGGAAAAAAAAACAAAAAAAAACAAAAAAACATCTGCTTACATTGTATGCATTGTATTATGTGTCCTGTACAGTTTATCTTATTTTATCTTGCCACTTTGATTACGTGAAATTAAATATAAAATAAAATAAAAACACAATTCACATTCGAACAGCACGTTCCATAATTATAATTGCTAAAGCACTTAATTAAAAAAAAAATAATAATAATAAATTTAAATGAAAAAGAAAGAGAGAGAGCGAGAGACAGAACTACATAATGACGTCATATTTCAGGGCCCATTCGTTGTAAACATTAAACGTCATCAGTGCGCGCGCAGGGAAGCGTGGGGCTGAAGGTGAAGCGGGTCTGTCTCCGTGGTTCTGGTTCTGAAGTTCGGAGCGTCAGCGTTTTTAGAAAGAGGCTAAAATGTCCTTATTTATGTCTGAAGAGTGTGTCTTTATTTTTATGTAATCAGAAGTTGTTGTTTTTTTTAATCGAGCCCGGACCGAGAGGAAAACAGCAGCACAGCGCCGATGTAAGAGCTTTTACTTTTACATCTGAATGAATTAATTTATTTTAATCAGGAAGTAGAGTTTTGTAACCTGTTCTTCAGTAATGTGGGTCTATCAGGAATCTTCTGGTTTCCCGTAACAAGATTTCATTCATCTGCAGTGTTTCTCCAGAGCCCAATGAGACAAAGAAAATCTCTTCTGTTTGATTTAAGGAATTGTCTGTACTAGGGCTGGGTATCATTAAGAAGTTGCCGATACGATACATACCTCGATACACAGGCCACGATACGATACATATCTCGATACAGTGCACTTTCGATTCGATACGGTATATTTCAAATCGATTCGATATGGTTCAATAAAAATTAAAGGCTAAATCATGGCTGTGATACTAAAGTCTTTGTTAATCCACTTCTTGTGCAAAGTGAATATGAAACACAAACATTTTAATCATCAAAACAGTGTCAGAATGTGAAATGTGTTGCATAAATGAGTTTCCTTTCACTTCACAAGCAACAAAACTGTAGCTGTAACAAAATAATTTAGTAAAACACACGTAAAAATACTCTTGGTGATATATCGATACAGCAGCCCACGTTATCGATACTGTATCATCACATTAAACGATACGATATATCGATATTCTGATATTTTTGCACACCCCTAGTCTGTACCCTGCGCTCTCATTGTTATTGTCACAGAACTACACTGTCCGACAGAGGTAAAAGACTTTAACTCTCCAGAGTGTCAAACTGAGAAAAAATACTTCAATCAATCAATCAAACTTTATTTGTATAGCACTTTTCATACATTTGGAATACAACAATTTAAACCGAAACATAAAACATAAACATAAAGCTCTTAAAAGTTATAGTAAAAATGAAAATGGAGAGCTAAGATCAGATGGAGACTAAGTAAAATAGTGATGATAATTTAATTTAAAACAACTATAATAATAACAATAATAATGATGATAATTTAAGATAAAACAGGTAAAAGTTTCAATTAAAAGCTAAATTAAAAAGATATGTTTTGAGTTTACTTTTAAAAATATGAAACCTCGCAGCGGACCTCAGATCCTCAGGTCGACTGTTCCACAAACGGGGGCCGTAAAAGCTGAATGACGCCTCACCGTGAGTTTTAGTTTGGACTCTTGGGACAGTTAAAAGACGACTACCTGAGGATCTGAGAGTCCGAGAGGCTCATATGATAAAAGCAGATCAGATAAATAATTAGGACTAAGATCATTAAGAGCTTTATATAATAAAATAATTTTAAAATCTATCCTGAAGCTCACAGGAAACCAGTGCAGAGACTTCAGTACTGGGGAGATGTGCTCTCTCTTCCTGGTCCTCGTCAGCAGTCAGCAGACTTCAAAGTTTCTGTTTTGTCCAGACAAAAGTTTAATAGGCCGGGCTTCCAAAATTTGACAACTTGATGCTATAATGAAGAAATATTTGTATGTGAAAAAATTGAGCTCAAAACTGATCTTTGACCCGTATTTGTCAGTTCCTGTACTCTGCCTTTTTATCATCATGAGCCAAAAATAAGGAGTCGTGCAAAGGCAAAAGGCAGAAACTGACATGATCAGTATTTGCTTGATTTTCTCCAGACTTCCATCCATTATAAGAACTCAAGGCTATTGGTGCAGGTGCTGGGGTTTAGGTGGAGATCATTCAGATCAGAGAGAGGCATTTTATGTTCAAACCAATTGGTTTTCAGCATTGAACCAGCAACCCAAATGAGAGAGTAATGCGAGGCTTATTCTGCTTTCTGATTGGAGAATTAAATTAAATCAAATTATATCATAAATTAATTAAACATCATGTCTAATGTTTTTGTAACTAAGAATAAATCTGCATTAGAATGATCAGGAAAAGGTCTACTTCATTTGAACATGTTAACCTCATATCTGGGGACACAGATTGGTCATGTTTACCACCTACAACCAGGCACAATGCAGCTCTCCTGTTATGGTTAATGTAAATTGTGGACTGTCCCTTTCTCCTGAATAAACTAAATAAATACATACATAAAGAAAATTACATTTAAGATCAAAATCTTACATACAGCTCAGTTTTTTAACAGCAGAGTCATCACCACCCTGTATCGACGGTTTTTCCTTCCTCAGGCCACAGACGTAAGTGCACAAGTCGATCTGGCTGATCTGGTGATAAAAGTTTAATCGTGATCTGATCCCCGAGACAGTCTGCTCTTTTGGTCACGTGGTCGTACGGCTCTACGTTCTTCTCTTTTTGAACTTCTTCATGACTCTGAGTGAGTCGTGAGGCTGGATGTGTGAATGAACCAAAACAGAACTCCAGGTACAGCGGAGGAGGAGGTAACAGCGTTAGAACATGGCTCACAACAGTCAGTTTTGTGTAAAATACGCCCTTTAAATATAAACACACCCTTCAGGACTTTGTGTATAAGTTTTTGCTTGAACTCTTCTGCAGCTGTTGTCCTGAACGTCGTCTGGGACAGGCGCATGATATTAATTAATCACTGCATTTATATAGCACCTTTCAAGATCCCCAAAGTGCTTTACAATTCATTATTCATTCACTCAACACTCTGTGGTGTAAACTACTATTGTAGCCACAGCTGCCCTGGGGCAGACTGACAGAAGCAAGGCTGCCAATCTGCACCATCAGCCCCTCCGACCACCACCATCACTCACACCTCTTTCATACTAGACAATGTGGGTGAAGTGTCTTGCTTAAGAACACAACAACAGTTTTTTGCCACTGGTGCCTCCTGTGGCTCCTGGAATTTCCAGTGTCTCCCATCCAAGTCCTACCCAGGCCCAGCCTGCTGAGCTTCTGAGATCTGACGGGATCAGGCTTTGACAAGCCGGTATGATCAATAGTTTCTAGAGCCTGTTCCACGCCGTCTTTTCAGTCGACAAATCAAACAGCAGGACGTGTCTTTGTCCAGTCACAGCTCGGACGTGGAGAGTGACGTCTGTTTGTGTGTCTCCTCAGGTCGAAGATGCTGCGTCTCCTGCGTCCGGCTCTGGTCTGTCCGAGCCCCGCCCTCGCGTCCCTGGCCCCGCCCCTCCACGTGCACGCGCCCGTCCTCGTGCACAGGGCTCACGTGCACACGCCGGTGCAGGTGGCGGAGCAGTTCCTGGTGGGGTTTCAGGAGATGAGCGGCGCCTCCTGGTGGTTCAGTATAGCAGCAGCGACTCTGACCGTCCGCTCCACCGTGACTCTGCCCCTCGCCGCCTACCAGACCGTGATCCTGCACCGGGTAAGAGCCAGAGAGCCAGAGCCAGAGCCAGGGACCTGTTTAGAAATCTACTTTACTGAATATATGTATTATATTATATTATATTATAATATAATATCTTATGTTATGTTATAATAATATTATATATTATATTATAAATATTAATTATAATTAATAATTATATATATAAATAATATTTTGTTATGTTATAAATAATATTATATATTATATTATAACATATTATATATTATATTATATTATATTATATTATAACATAATGTAATATACATTATAGAAAGTCAATGTTATTTTTTAGTATCTGGTTTTGGTAGATTTTTTTGACATCCCAAATAAAATCTCCTTGATGCAGAATAACTGTGATGTTTTTCTAATGAGCATTAATCAAATAAACGATGCCCCTAAATATTTTTCCACATTTGTGAATTTGGGTGAAGTTTTGCGACTGAACTGAACGTGCTGTGTGCGTGTGTGTCCAGGTGGAGGCGCTGCAGAAGGAGATTGCGCAGCTTTCCCAAAGGCTCAGTTATGAAGTGTCTGTGAAGGCCAAACAGGTGGGCTGGAGCGAGAAGACCTGCAGGTACCACAGATCCTCTTTTAAAAGTTTTGAAATATAAAAACACCGGGAACCATCTGGAATCATGTTTACAAAGATCCACTGACCCGACCTGCGTGAAGTCGCCCCCATCAAACACCAAACTACACAAAAACTAACAACATCTGTCGTTTGTAGGGATGTAACGATATCCAGTGTTGGGGAGTAACAGATTACAAGTACTGGAGTTATGTAATCAGATTACAAATGATGAGTAACTGTATTCAGTTACAGTTACTGTTTCAATGAGTGGTAATTGGATTACAGTTACTTTGTTGAAATAAATGGATTACACGGCAGTATTTTCCTGACTAAACAAGGACTAAACCAGGTCTAAAACCAGGTCTAAACCAGGACTAAACCAGGACTAAACCAGGACTAAACCAGGTCTAAAACCAGGTCTAAACCAGGTCTAAAACCAGGTCTAAACCAGGTCTAAAACCAGGACTAAACCAGGTCTAAAACCAGGTCTAAACCAGGACTAAACCAGGACTAAACCAGGTCTAAAACCAGGTCTAAACCAGGTCTAAGCCAGGTCTAAACCAGGTCTAAACAAGGACTTAAACCAGGACTAAACCCAGGTCTAAACCCAGGTCTAAACCAGGACTAAACCAGGACTAAACCAGGACTAAACCAGGACTAAACCAGGTCTAAACCAGGTCTAAACCAGGACTAAACCAGGACTAAAGCAGGACTAAAGCTGAACTAAACCAGGTCTAAACCCAGGTCTAAACCCAGGTCTAAACCAAGTCTAAACCAGGTCTAAACCAGGTCTAAGCCAGGTCTAAGCCAGGATTAAACAAGGACTTAAACCAGGACTAAACCCAGGTCTAAACCAGGTCTAAACCCAGGTCTAAACCCAGGTCTAAACCCAGGTCTAAACCAGGACTAAACAAGGACTTAAACCAGGACTAAACCAGGACTAAACCAGATCTAAAGTAGATCTAAACTAGGTCTAAATTAGGTCTAAACCAGGACTAAACCAGATCTAAACTAGATCTAAACTAGGTCTAAACTAGGTCTAAACTAGGTCTAAATTAGGTCTAAATCAGGACTAAACCAGGTCTAAACCCAGGTCTAAACTAGGTCTAAACCATGACTAAACCATGACTAAACCAGGACTAAAACAGGATTTAACAGGACTAAACCAGGACTAAAACAGGATTTAACAGGACTAAACCAGGACTAAAACAGGATTTAACAGGACTAAACCAGGACTAAAACAGGATTTAACAGGACTAAACCAGGACTAAAACAGGATTTAACAGGACTAAACCAGGACTAAAACAGGATTTAACAGGACTAAACCAGGACTAAAACAGGATTTAACAGGACTAAACCAGGACTAAAACAGGATTTAACAGGACTAAACCAGGACTAAAACAGGATTTAACAGGACTAAACCAGGACTAAAACAGGATTTAACAGGACTAAACCATGCTCCGTGGACCGTTTCTCCTCCTCTTTTATCAATAATATTTTTAAAGACTCGGCCTTTTCATTTTCTTTTAGCAAACAAAACATTTTATATTACGATTTCCTCGTCTTTGCTTCTTTACAACAAATCAAGTAATCCAAAGTATTCAGATTACATTACTCACGTTAAGTAATTGAACGGATTATGTTACAAACTACATTCTGGGGTATGTAATCTGTAATCTGTAGGGGATTACATTTTAAAAGTCACCTTCCCAACACTGACGATATCCAAATCTCTCGGTACGATATTTATGGTGATATTTTGGAGAGGCTTATAGAATTTTAAAATTTTAAAATACCCTGACAAGATTTTGGTGTGAATTATTTCCGTCATAATCCCAAAGAATTCAAGTCAAAAACATGTTTCTTCATGTTGTCTGCGCTGAAATGAATCATGGGAAATGTAGTTCCCGATGTTACTGCTGTAAAACCTGCATTTAAGCAAAGGAACTTGTGATTCGATATATTGTGACGCCCAAAATATTATTGTGAGACTTTGGACGATACGATATCACGATATTTCTGTTGTTGTTGCATCCCTAATCGTTTGTGCTCCGTTTGTGCAGCAAAAAGTCTCGTTTGTGCTGCTTTAATTTTGGAGATATTACAGATTATTTTAATGGTCAAATTATGGTCATCAGCCTCCAGGAAACAAAAAAAAATGCTCTAAAACGACACAAAACGGAGTCAATCATTTGTGCTTCGTTTGTGCTGGAAAATGTCTCCTTTGTGTGATTCCGGTTCTTAAATCCGTGTATCATTCCTTCATTTGTGTTTCAAAATAAAACCAAAAATAAGTAAACGAAAAAACAACTATTTTCTTCATTATTTGTCGCCAAAACCAAAATGAAAAAAACAGATAATGATTAGATTTTTCATTTTTCGATTTTGTGTTTAAATGAAAAACGGAAAAAACGGATAACGACCTATCTGCAAATAACTGCGATGCCGGACTGGACCAGGACTAAACCGTTTTGAGTCCCGGTCTGGTCCCGGTCTCAGTCGTTGTCTCAATTCTGGTCTCAGTCCCGGTCTCAGTCCCTGGTCCTGGTCTAAGTCCTGGTCTCAGTCCCGGTCTGGTCCCGAACCTGGTTCAGTTCTGGTTCAGTCCTGGTTCAGTCCTGGTGTAGTCGTGGTTTAGTCCTGGTTTAGTCCTGGTTTAGTCCTGGTTCAGTCCTGGTTCAGTCCTGGTTCAGTCCTGGTTTAGTCCTGGTTCAGTCCTGGTGTAGTCGTGGTTTAGTCCTGGTTTAGTCCTGGTTCAGTCCTGGTTCAGTCCTGGTTTAGTCCTGGTTCAGTCCTGGTTCAGTCCTGGTTTAGTCCTGGTTCAGTCCTGGTGTAGTCGTGGTTTAGTCCTGGTTTAGTCCTGGTTCAGTCCTGGTTTAGTCCTGGTTCAGTCCTGGTTTAGTCCTGGTTTAGTCCTGGTTTAGTCCTGGTTTAGTCCTGGTTTAGTCCTGGTTTAGTCCTGGTTCAGTCCGGCATCGCAGTCACGGACGTCACGTAAACGAGAAACGGGCCTTTATCCATATATATTTTTCCATTTTTCATTTAAACACAAAATTGAAAACTGAAAAAACAAATCATTATCTGTTTTTTTCATTTTGGTTTTGGAGACAAATAATGAAGAAAATATCGTTTTTTTCATTTTCTTATTTTTGGTTTTATAATGAAAAACAAATGAACGAATGATACACGAATTTTCTTAAGATATTAGAAGTTTTATTTTAGGCTGATGACATCATCCAGCTCAGACATGTCAGACTCAGGCCTGTGGGCCAAATTTGTCCCATGATATAATTATATTTGGCCCACGAGATCAGATCAAACCTGTATTAAAGCTATAGAGACATTATTTATTTAAAATGGTATTATTTTATATTCTGCTTGTTCTGAATATAAAGCTATTATTAAACATTTACTTTAAAAAGAAAAGGTTTAACATTACATATCCTGAAAGAAGAGAAAACATGCAGATGGTGTTGAGAATTTTCAATAAATATTTAGTTTGGCCCACGACTTAGTCCCAGTTTTTAATTTGAGCCTCTGTGGATTTGAGTCCAACTCCTCAAAATGTTAAACAGCCTCAAAACAGCAGAAAATTACACAAAATGTTTGTATTTTGTTTGCACTGTGACAATTTTCATTTGTTTCTAAAATTATTCATAATTATTTTTGTGGAAATTATAAGAGGTAATTTCCGTTCATCTGGCGGCAGCGGCTTTAGCAAAACTCCACAAAACTAGTGAAGATAAAAGATCTGGGGCTGTTGAAAAGTCTTTAGTAACTCGCTTTAGATTCATATTCTACATTTATTCAATCACAGGTGGTTTTATTTCTCAAAAATACCTAGAAAAGCAGGCGTTCTGACTGTGAGCGGCGTCGCCTCTCCACAGATCTGACATGGGTCCGGTCAAGTGGTAACGGAGGGAAACAGGGTCAGATTTTTGACATTCAAATGTCTCTTATTCAGAAACTAGAGGGACTATTGAAATAAGTAAAGTATCAGAATGTAGGAAAGAGTTACACTCCAACAGGGTCAAGTTAAACCTGTGAGATTCTTTCAAGTTCAAGACAAAAAATTTAAAAACTCATGTTGGTAACGGAGGGAATGAAATATGCAGCACTTTTTGGTCAATAAATCCAAACAGTGATAACTCTTGGTTCTCACTTACATATCCTTAACAAACTGGTTTGAATATTTGCTTCATATAGTTTTCTACCATATGGTACAAGATTAGGTTGAAAAACCTCTTACTTTTTGACTCATGAGATTTTTTATTAAGAAAGTTCATGGTAACGGAGGGAAAAGTAACAGAGGGAAAATTGTACAAACAAGTAGAAGGTGCAGGATTTTACATCATTTGTTGCTTTTTTCTTCTGAAAACTTTAATATTACTTCAAAATGAAAGGAAACTATTTCTATAAAATATGTCAGTCCTTCCAAGAACATTTTTATCATTTTAAATACATTTTTTTTTGAAAAATCATGTCCCTTCATCAACAGTTCAAAGATGGAATAACACAAGATATGATGAAATACATCCATTTATTTACATGATTTTCAGGTCTTTGAAATTTGGGAAATAATATTTGTTCCATGTTTCATACACGGTCTGTTTAAAACATATGTAACTTTAGAACCAAAAATGGTGCAGAAAAAAGGTCAACAGTTTGATAAACTAGAGCACATATATATCTGTTCAATACATTTTTATATTAGATGAATTAACTTGAATTTTTGGCCTTGTTGTTTACTTCTGCTTGACTGGGCCCACCTGTATCTTGCTCTGGTTTAGTCTCCATGAAGATACAAATGTTTAACACTGCACTGCATTTGAAGGAGCCTCCACCAGAAAAGTTCCACAGTGCAGCTTTTAATGTCTGTTTTTATTTTGTAGGTTCCAGTTTAAGAAGAACATGAAGAGGATCGTGTCCGAACTCTACATCCGAGACAACTGCCACCCGCTCAAAGCCTCCATCTTGGTCCTGGTCCAGGTCCCGGTCTGGATCAGCCTCTCTCTGGCGCTCAGGGACCTCAGTCTGGACTCCAGCGGTGAGAACCAGGTCCAAACCAGGTCTAAGCCGGAGCTAAACCTGGACTGAAACAAGTCTAAACCAGGTCTTCAGAAGCTGGACTAAACCTGCGATTGTGTTTGTGTCCGCAGGCGTGTACTCCGCGCTGGCTGCAGGGGGCGCTCTCTGGTTCAAAGACCTGACTGTCCCGGACTCCACCTGGATTATTCCCGTGTCTCTGGGGCTCACCAACCTCCTGCTGGTGGAGGTGGGTACTGCTTTGAATAAATGAGTGTTATTTTCACTCAGATTTGATGCCACACTCCTGTGTAAAGGCTCCTGTGTTGAGTGTGTTCACATAGGGCTGGGCGATATGGATCAAAAAATATATCTTGATATATTTTTCTATATCTCAATAAACGATATATATCTCGATATATGTTCAAGAAAAAATAACTCTCTAAAACTGAAAACTGCAAAAACAAATCTGCCAAATTCCACAAGGTCTTTTTTTATTTTTATTAAAGTGTAAGAGGTCGGCAGTTCATACAGGAACATTTAAGATTACAAAAACACTAATTACATAAATAATAATAATTAACTGTAAAATAAAAGAAATAATACATGTTTCCTTCTTTTCATTCATAAATAAAACAACTCAACACAAGCTCATCTTTGCATTAACTCTGTTCTCCAGACCAGAACCAGAACCATGAGCTCATTTAGCAGAAGAAACTCAGGATGTTCCTTATTTTAATAGATCCATGTTCCAGCAGTGAGGAGCTCTGAGGTTTAATCCCACAATCCACTGCAGATCAAACCCAACGTTTCCAAACACTATTGTACAAGTGACACTACAACAGATTATTAAATAAAATCTTCTGTATAAATAAACTTTACAATATATAAACATAACGACTCTAGAGCCACATCAGCCCGTTTGAGATAATAATGTGTTTAATGCAGTTCTGCGCAGGTGTGTTTACGTTTTACAGAAACTAAACTTAAGTGCATGACTCATTTGCATAAACAGCACTTCTCATGCAGCTCAGCTCGTTCAGCTTCTTTCAGACTAAAGGACGCGACTCGGTGGAACATGAGGATGTGCTGCTGATGGTTTTGTCTGTGAATGGTTGAAAAGGTTCGTGGTGCTTGAAGCTTTTCACTGGCACCAACTTTCGGCGTTCAGGGCGATAGTGAGGAGAGAAGGAGACACGAGTGAACAAAATGAGGGAGGCGGAGGCGACGAGAGAGAAGACAAACAAGCAAAGCGGTGAAATCAAAATTGAATATAAGCATTATATCGATATATACGATATGTCAGAATTCAGGATTCTGTGTTTACATGCGCTGACAAACCGGGACACTCATATCCCTGTGACATGATCAAATGATCAAATATCCCGGTTTGTTGACATAATCTTACAAATGCGCAAGTGCAAAAATGAACTTAAATCAATTTAATAAACCAGGAAAAATACAAACCGTGAGCTCCTTTAGCGTCAGAAGCTCGGGAGGTTTAACCAGCGGTGAAGAGCTGTGAGAATCCCACAATCCACTGCACACATCAAACCAACAGATTCTTCTTTAAAATCTTCTGCATAAATAAACTCAACTTTACAACATTTAAACCAGAACCGCTGTAGAGCCACATCAGCCTGTTTGATCAGATCATTCAGCTCTGATCACATTTGTTTACGTTTTGCAGAAACGAAACTTAAGACCGCATCGCTAATTAGCATAAACTGTTAGCGGTGATAAAAACAGCTGCTCCTTGTGCCGCTGATGTGATCAACCTATTTCGATTTGGATTATGTGTGTTCTTTTTGTGACAGAACAGGTGCTGATGATGGTGAGTCTGTTCTGCGTGTATCATAGACCAGGAGTGTCAAACTCATTTTGGTCCGGGGGCCGTATCCAGCCTATTTTGATCCAAAGTGTCCGGATCAGAAAACTCATGTCATATAAACCCCAAAAATAACAATAAATTCAAATATTTGTGCAGAGAAACACAAATCTATTACAGAAATCTTTTTTAATTGATGAACTCTTTCTTTTACAAAATATTATAATATTATGAACAACCTGAAACTTTAAGAAAAATACAATTTCAACACAAAGTTTTAACATGAACTTGTATGAAAATAGGAATTCAATTTTTGTTGTAAAATCCTGCACTCGGCTCCACTTTTCTCATGTTGGACATTTTTCTGATGAGGGTGTCACGGTCAACAGTCAAAACGATCGTCCTTTAAGAGCGTTTGGAAAGAGACAAGTCTTCATTTGTGCTGCTCTGGTGGGAGGGGCCACGTACAGAGACGCTGGAGACGCTGGAGACGCTGCTGTGATAAACACCACAGAAAATTAACACCATTTTAATAGAAAATATAATTAAAACATTTTAGTAGAAAATCAGCCGAGGGCCAGATTAAAGGTCTTGGGGGGCCGGATTTGGCCCCCGGGCCGTATGTTTGACACCTGTGTCATAGGAGATAGTTCATGTTTTAGCTTTTCAGTGATCAAACGTGTGCAGGTTTAGTGTTATTTCACTCGTGTACAGTCACTTTATTTATGTCGCTGTTGTGAAGAAAAGACTGGAAAGTGTTTGTCTTTTGGACGCATGTGATTTAACTTTGTTGTTTTGTGATGTGGAACCTGGTCTGGTCTGAGGATCTGAACCGGTCTGTGTTCGGTCCGTTTGAGGATCTGAACCGGTCTCTGTTCGGTCCGTTTGAGGATCTAAACCTGTCTTTGTAGGGTCTATTTGAGGATCTTAACCAGTCTTTTGTAGGCTCTGTTTGAGGATCTGAACCAGTCTTTGTAGGGTCTGTTTGAGGATCTCAACCAGTCTTTTTGTAGAGTCTGTCTGAGGATCTGAACCGGTCTTTGAAGATTCTGGTCTGAGGATCTCAACCGGACTTTGTAGAGTCTTTTTGACCGTGTTTTGTGATGTGGAACCTGGTCTGGTCTGAGGATCTGAACCGGTCTCTGTTCGGTCCTTTTGATTATCTGGGCTGGTCTTTGTAGGGTCCGTTTGACAGTGTATTGTTGAGCCTGGTCTGAGGATCTAAACCAGTCTTTGTAGGGTCCGTTTGAGGATCTGAACCGGTCTCTGTTCGGTCCGTTTGACAGTGTTTGTGTGTTGGTCAGTTGGGTCTCTGTTCGGTCCGTTTGACAGTGTTTTGTGTTGCAGTTGGCGTCCCTGCAGCAGAGGCCTGTCTCCGGGCGTTTCCAGAAGCTCGTCCTTCACTCGTTCAGAGCCGTGTCCCTCCTCATGATCCCCGTGTCTGCGTACGTCCCCACGGTGAGTCGTCCTGGACATTATCAGTAATAATAATAATAATAAGAAAATGCCCAGGTTACACTAGTTTATCTGTTCTAATGTCGTTTCCTCGTCACAAACAAACCTGGAGGCGAGAGGTTGGATTTTAAAATTGATTTAGTTCATAAATATATTTTTTTTAACTAAATCACAAACACAAATCTTCGCACGGCTCCTTATTTTTGGCTCATGATACAAAAGCAGAGAACAAGAACTGACAAATAAGAGTCAAAGGTCAATTTTGTGTGTGGAGCGACGACAAAACAAAATCCTGTTTGTTAAGTGAGAGGAGCAGAAGACAAACAGACTGAGCTGCACTTTCTTGTTCTTGTGGTTTTACAGCAACATCACGTCTTGGTCTTGAGATTGAGTGAGGGATCGGGATTTTGCTTTGTCGTCGCTCCACATACAAAATGTTCTCTGTAAACTCAAAATGTTTCCTTTTTGGTTCTTCCTGTGGATCAATCCTGCCCATCGCCTTCACCTTTCACTATTTTTCAATTCCGTTGGGAAGTGAAACAGTTTGAACGGAGGTTTGAGTCACACACATCTGATTCACTTTTGCATTTATGGCGTTCGCAAACTTCTAAAGCTTGTTTCTTGAGCCGTTTTCCGCTGTTAGGATCCAACAAACACACAATTAACGACGTCCGAATCCCAAAACTAAAATATGACAATATCAGAACCAGAAACAAAAGTGATATGGTTCAAAAGACTTGAAAAGATCGACTTTGACAATAGACACATCCCACTGGGAAAACAAACATGGAGGTTTGACGCTCACTTTTTAGGAAAATCCTTCCCAGTATGAACTGCGTGATGACCGGAAGTCCGGGATTTGTGATTCATGTATTCCAGGGCTAAAATTAACCAAATTATTCTAGTGAAGTTGTACGGAGTTTTGTTCATCACGAGGTTTTCTGTTTGAGTGAAGAACTCAGCTTAAATCTGCAGGGTTTGTGCGTTAAACATGTGTGAATGAAACAAAAAAAACACAACTCCAGGTTTGTTTTTGAGGAGGTAACGACGTTAGAACATGACTTAAATCTCACAGGAGTCAGTTTTATGTCATATAGGACCTTTAAAGTGACCAGCAGCTAGGGACGGGCATTCGATGAAATTTTCTTAATCGATCATCGGAAGAATTAACAATGGATTATCGATTAATCATTAACGTTTTTATATTAAAATGATCATCATTATTATTTCTATCTGCATTAATCTGCATAAATAAATTCAACTTTACAACATATAAACCGTAACGACTCTAGAGCCACGTCACACTTCACAATATAATATAAGAAATATAATAACAAAGAGTAAGAAATATAAATGGTAATAATAAGTTTGATAAGGAAGCAGCAAAAAAGAGCAAGAGACAAGAGTCAAAAATCTGTATGTCGTTCGTTCATTCATTTTTCAATATAAAACCAAAAATAAGAAAATGAAAAAACAACAGTTTTCTTCATTATTTGTCTCCAAAACCAAAATAAAAAAAAAATGGATAATGATTCGTTTTTTCAGTTTTCGATTTTGTGTTTAATTGAAGAATGGAAAAAACGGATAACGTCCGTTTCCCGTTTACGTGACTTCAGTGACTGCGATACCGAACTGAACCAGGACTGATCCAGGTCCGAGACCAGACCGGGACCAGAGCGGGACTGAGACCGGGACCAGTGGTCCGAGCGGTTCCTTGTCATCGTCTGCGTGCTGGTTCTGTGTGGGGAAAGTGAGAATGTTCTGTGGACTACAGGTCCGGACGGGCTGCTCCAGTCCTCCACACTCAAGAACCACGGCTGGTTCTGAGGTGGTGCAAAGCATCAAACTGACGCTTTCACACCAATGAAAACGAATCAAACTAAGAGCTTTTGGTTCAAATGAACCAGGTCCGGGACCAGAGCGGGACCAGACCGAGCCTGAGACCGAGACAAGACCAGGACCAGACCGGAGGCTCAGAGCCCACGGCAGGGCCGGAGCTCGAAGCTGAGGCTCGGACCCCGCAGAGGCTCAGAGTCAAAGCTCGGAGTCCAGTCTGGTCCTGGTCTGGTCCTGGTCTGGTCCTGGTCTGGTCCTGGTCTGGTCCTGGTCTGGTCCCGGTCTGTCCCGGTCTCAGTCCCGCTCTGGTCCCGGTCTGGTCTCGGACCTGGTTCAGTCCTGGTTCAGTCCGGTATCGCAGTCACTGAAGTCACGTAAACGGGAAACGGCCGTTATCCGTTTTTTCCATTCTTCATTTAAACACAAAATCGAAAACTGAAAAAACGAATCGTTATCCGTTTTTTAATTTTGGTTTTGGAGACAAATAGTGAAGAAAACTGTAGTTTTTTTGTTTTCTTATTTTTGGTTTTATATTGAAAAACGAATGAACGAATGACACAAGGATTGTCAAAGAAGACATAATGATATAAATGTAAATGTACAAGTCAAATAGATAAATAACTAATAACATATAAAATGTCAGTGTGGTTCCTGACTGTATATTATATATTTATGGAAACACACTTGGAGGGCACATTGAAAACCCGGTGTACCTCAGGCACAGACGGGGGCAGGTGTGGTATGTGCTGATTGGGATCAGACCTGAGTGGACCTGCTGCTCCGTGTTTGTGGAGGTTTGTGTGAGGAGCAGGTCTGGACTCGTCTGGAGCTCTGCCCTGATCACAGCCTCATGTGGGTCACACGAGAGAAACACAAGACCGGATTAAGACCAGGTTCAAGAGAGAGTGACGTCACCCGCGGCGCTCAGAACCAGTCGAACGAAGCTCACGAGGCTCGAGGTTAAAGGGGAGAATTTTGAGTAGGAATTTATTTACGTACAAAATAGTGAAATAAAAACCCCAGGATCAGGTAGAGCGAGTTAATACGAACATTTAAGACCAAAATGACGAGACAAAGGGGAGACAGCGCTTCAATGGAAAGTTAACTGGAGCCGATGGAGCCAGAAATGCCCCCATGAACACTTCCTGGCAGTTAGCGGCAGTGTTGGGAAGGTGACTTTTAAAATGTAATCCCCTACAGATTACAGATTACATACCCCAAAATGTAGTTTGTAACGTAATCCATTAAATTACTTAAAGTGAGTAATGTAATCTGAATACTTTGGATTACTTGATTTGCTGTAGAGAAGCAAAGACGAGGAAATCTTCATGTTTTGTCTGCTAAAAGAAAATAAAAAGTCCAGTCTTTACTTAACCAGATTAAAAATATTATTGATAGAAGAAGAAGAGACACGTCCACACAGCAGGATTTAGTCCTGTTAAATCCTGTTTTAGACCTGGTTTGGACCTGGTTTAGACCTGGTTTTAATCCTGGTTTAGTCTTGGTTTAGACCTGGTTTAGTCCTGGTTTTGTCCTGGTTTAGACCTGTTTTTTGTCCTTGGGTTAGACCTGGTTTAGACCTGTTTTTTTGTCCTGGTTTAGACCTGGTTTAGTCCTGGTTTAGATCTGATTTAGACCTGGTTTTAGTCCTGGTTTAGTCCTGGTTTAGACCTGGTTTTTGTCCTTGGGTTTAGACCTGGTTTTAGACCTGTTTTTTTTGTCCTGGTTTTAGTCCTGGTTTAGTCTGATTTAGACCTGGTTTAGACCTGGTTTAGACCTGGTTTAGTCTTGGTTTTAGTCCTGGTTTAGTCTGGTTTAGACCTGGTTTAGACCTGGTTTAGACCTGGTTTAGACCTGGTTTAGACCTGGTTTAGACTGGTTTAGTCTGTTTACCTGGTTTAGAGACCTGTTTAGACCTGGTTTAGTCCTGACCTGTTTAACCTGGTTTAGACCTGGTTTAGACTGGTTTACTGGTTTGGTTTAGACCTGGTTTAGACCTGGTTTAGACTGGTTTAGACCTGGTTTAGACCTGGTTTAGACTGGTTTAGACCTGGTTTAGATCTGGTTTAGACTGGTTTAGTCTGGTTTAGATCTGGTTTAGACCTGTTTAACCTGGTTTAGATCTGGTTTAGACCTGGTTTAGACCTGGTTTAGACCTGGTTTAGTTTTAGACCTGGTTTAGATCTGGTTTAGACCTGGTTTAGACCTGTTTAGACCTGTTTAGTCTGGTTTAGACCTGGTTTAGATCTGGTTTAGACCTGGTTTAGACCTGGTTTAGATCTGGTTTAACCTGAACTGGTTTAGACCTGGTTTAGATCTGGTTTGACCTGGTTTAGATCTGGTTTAGACCTGGTTTAGACTGGTTTAGACCTGGTTTAGATAGTCTGGTTTAGACTGACTGTTTGGTAGATCTGGTTTAGACCTGGTTTAGATAGACTGGTTTAACCCTGAATCTGGTAACCTGGTTTAGTACCTGGTTTAGTGTCTGGCAATGAGTAGAATTACCGAGAAGGGAAAAAAAAAGAAAAAGGGATATAGCCCAAAATGTGAAAACAGGAAAATAAATGTAATCCATTTATTTCAACAAAGTAACTGTAATCCAATTACCACTCACTGAAACAGTAACTGTAACTGAATACAGTTACTCATCATTTGTACTCTGATTACATAACTCCAGTACTTGTAATCTGTTACTCCCCAACACTAGTTAGCAGGTTAGTTATGTACATGAGAGTCTATGGTTAAGATTTATATTTAAAGACTTTTTTTTTTTTTGGCCAAACCACAACACTAAAGAAAAAAAATAAAATCAATGAAAGCAATTCAATAAAAGCCTGATAAATCTTAACCATCCTGTGTCAACAAGTCCTATAAAATCTTCTGTTAACATTACATGAGTTTATCTGATCAGAGGTGAGTGAGAGTACTGTTACTTCTGTTACTCAAGTACTCCAACAAATTACTCATGTAAGAGTATTTGTAAAAGAAACTGATCTGAATGATAAAAATCCTAGCTGAGGGAGCAGTATTTAGTTGTGTAACTTTAATTGTAAACTTATAAGTTCTGTTTGAGGAGTTGGAATTAAACCTGTGCTTGTCCTTGGTTTATAGTTTAGTTTTTACTCACTCGGGGCAGGACTGGTCCAGCTCTGCTCCCTCAGTATAAACTTTAACTCCTCTGACAGATCTTTTTTTTGTATTTAAAATGGCCTCAGGCACCAAAATATTTTGACATTGTTCCGAGGGTCACGTGATCAGGACTCGCTTCTGAGCGACATGTTTACGGCAAAAAAGGGGATTTTCTTAAAATATATTTTTTCAGTTCTGTTTCCCTTGAATAAAGTCAGTGACGGTCATGAAGTGCACAGTTAGTAGTAGGGACGGGCATTTGATGAAATTTTCTTAATCGATCGTCGGTAATTAGAATTTATATTCAATATTATCGATTTAATCATTAACTTTTATATATTAATAATGATCATCATTATTATTACTATCTGCACTAATCTGCATAAATTACAAATTCAACTTTACGACAAATAAACCGTAACGACTCTAGATCCACATCAGCCCGTTTATTATAATGTGTTTAATTCAGTTTTGTGCAACTCTCACAGAAACGAAACTTAAAACCACATCGCTAATTTACATAAACTAAAGTGAAGATAAAACTCCAGCTCTTGTGTCGCTGATGTGGTTCAACTTGTGTTGGATTAAAAGACATGACTCAGGTGAATACAGGTCAGTGTGACCAGATTTGTGTTTCAAAACCAGGACAGCGTACGGGGGAGGGCGGGGCCTCGTCATCCACATTGAGCGACTCTCACCTGGAAAAACTTTTCCCACTGGACACAGAAACATATGTGCTGCTTTATCCACTGTGCACATGGACTCACACTTGTCCCAACGCAACGGAAAGTGTGGAATTTCTTCGGACCTGTTTGGGTCTCTCTATGCTACAACAACCTACATTCGGTTTGTCGATTAAAATGAACGTAATCGATGAAATTCTTAATGATCAATTATCGATTAATCGACTAATCATGCCCATCCCTAGTTAGTACTGCCTTGAAAAAACTCATACAGCGATGTTGAACATGCACATGACATGAGCCGTTCAGTGGAATCATTAAACCTCTTCTCCCACCAGAATGAGGAAGTACATCATCATTTATGTTTAGATTCTCAAAATCAATCAGAAAAATCATTGAGTTTATTTTGGCTTAGATTAAGTCTAAACCAGGACTAAACCCGGACTAAAACAGGACTAAACCAGGACTAAAACAGGACTCAACCAGGACTAAACCAGGACTAAAACAGGACTAAAACAGGACTCAAACCAGACTAAACCAGGACTAAACCCAAACTAAACCAGGACTAAACCCAAACTAAACCAGACTAAACTAACCGACTAAACCAGGACTAAAACAGGACTAAAACAGGACTCAACCAGGACTAAACCCAAACTAAACCAGGACTAATCCAGGACTAAACCAGGACTAAACCAGGACTAAACCAGGACTAAACTAGGACTAAAACAGGACTAAAACAGGACTCAACCAGGACTAAACCAGGACTAAACCAGAACTAAACCAGACTAAAAGGACTCAATTAATAAACCAGGACTAAACCAGAACTAAACCAGGACTAAATCCTGCTGTGTGGACGTGTCTCCTCTTCTTCTATCAATAACATTTTTAATTTGGTTCAGTAAAGTCTGGACTTTTTATTTTCTTTTATCAGATAAATATTTTATGTTACGATTTCCTCGTCTTTGTTTCTCTACAGAAAATCAAATAATCCAAAGTAATCAGATTACATTACTCACTTTAAGTAATTTAATGGATTATGTTACAAACTACATTTTGGTGTGTGTAATCTGTAATCTGTAGGGGATTACATTTTAAAAGTCACCTTCCCAACACTGCACATGGACACATATTTATGATTATATTTGGACTCTTCCGTGTGTGTTTTGTTGTTCGTCGGGGTGATCCAGGTCTGGTTGTGACTCTCTGCGTTTGCTTCCAGTGCATGTCTCTGTACTGGCTCAGCTCCAGTTTGGTGGGACTGGGCCACAACCTGCTCCTGCGCTCGCCCCGAGTCCACAGACTGATCCGGGTCCAGACCGAGTCCAGTACCCCCTACAGAGACCTGTACGCCGCCTTCCTCGCCAAGTACCTGCGCTGAACCACCGGAGCGGCTCTGAGGGGGGGGGGGGGGCAGAGCGTGCACGCCGGATGCCCTCCCTCGCTCCGGGTGTGTGTCAGATGCCCTCCCTCGCTCTGGGTGTGCGTCAGATGCCCTCCCTCGCTCTGGGTGTGCGTCAGATGCCCTCCCTCGCTCCGGGTGTGCGTCAGATGCCCTCCCTCGCTCTGGGTGTGTGGGTGTGCGTCAGATGCCCTCCCTCGCTCTGGGTGTGCGTCAGATGCCCTCCCTCGCTCTGGGTGCCCTCCCTCGCTCTGGTTGTGTGGGTGTGTGTCAGATGCCCTCCCTCGCTCTGAGTGTGCGTCAGATGCCCTCCCTCGCTCTGGGTGTGTGTCAGATGCCCTCCCTCGCTCTGGTGTGCGTCAGATGCCCTCCCTCGCTCCGGGTGTGCGTCAGATGCCCTCCCTCGCTCTGGGTGTGTGTCAGATGCCCTCCCTCGCTCTGGGTGTGCGTCAGATGCCCTCCCTCGCTCTGGGTGTGTCAGATGCCCTCCCTCGCTCTGGGTGTGCGTCAGATGCCCTCCCTCGCTCTGGGTGTGCGTCAGATGCCCTCCCTCGCTCTGGGTGTGTGTGTCAGATGCCCTCCCTCGCTCTGGTGTGTCAGATGCCCTCCCTCGCTCTGGGTGTGCCCTCCCTCGCTCTGGTTGTGTGTGTCAGATGCCCTCCCTCGCTCTGGGTGTGTGTCAGATGCCCTCCCTCGCTCTGAGTGTGTGTCAGATGCCCTCCCTCGCTCTGGGTGCCCTCCCTCGCTCTGGGTGTGTGTCAGATGCCCTCCCTCGCTCTCCCTCGCTCTGGTGTGTGTCAGATGCCCTCCCTCGCTCTGGGTGTGCCCTCCCTCGCTCTGGGTGCCCTCCTCGCTCCTCCCTCGCTCGGGTGTGTGTCAGATGCCCTCCCTCGCTCTGGGTGTGTGTCAGATGCCCTCCCTCGCTCTGGTGTGCGTCAGATGCCCTCCCTCGCTCTGGGTGTGCGTCAGATGCCCTCCCTCGCTCTGGATGCCCTCCCTCGCTCCGGGTGTGTGTCAGATGCCCTCCTCGCTCCCTCCGCTCTGTGTCAGATGCCCTCCCTCGCTCTGAGTGTGCGTCAGATGCCCTCCCTCGCTCTGGGTGTGTGTCAGATGCCCTCCCTCGCTCTGGATGCCCTCCCTCGCTCCGGGTGTGTGTCAGATGCCCTCCCTCGCTCCCTCCCTCGCTCTGGGTGTGTGTCAGATGCCCTCCCTCGCTCTGAGTGTGCGTCAGATGCCCTCCCTCGCTCTGGGTGTGCGTCAGATGCCCTCCCTCGCTCTGGGTGTGCGTCAGATGCCCTCCCTCGCTCCCTCCCTCGCTCCGGGTGTGCGTCAGATGCCCTCCCTCGCTCTGGTGTGTGCGTCAGATGCCCTCCCTCGCTCTGGGTGTGTGTCAGATGCCCTCCCTCGCTCTGGATGCCCTCCCTCGCTCTGGGTGTGCGTCAGATGCCCTCCTCGCTCCCTCCCTCGCTCTGGGTGTGTGTCAGATGCCCTCCCTCGCTCTGAGTGTGCGTCAGATGCCCTCCCTCGCTCTGGGTGTGCGTCAGATGCCCTCCCTCGCTCCGGGTGTGTGTGTACGTCAGATGCCCTCCCTCGCTCCCTCCCTCGCTCTGGGTGTGTGTCAGATGCCCTCCCTCGCTCCCTCCCTCGCTCTGGGTGTGCGTCAGATGCCCTCCCTCGCTCTGGTTGTGTGGGCGTGCATCAGATGCCCTCCTTCTCGTTGTTGACTTCTTCAGACTTCCTTCCTCTCCTGGACCGAGGACAATCGCAGGAAGCGCTCCGGACGTCCACGCCGCCGTACCTCATTCACACGAAACGTCCCGACAGAAGACGCACGACGAAAATCCTGCTCTGACTCTTTAAATTAAATTATTAAACTGAACGGGTTTGTTTGGGAATATGTGATAAAAGTTTGAACTGTTGTTGTGTCTTTGGGCCAGGGCACTTCTCCGTTCTCTCCCATGTGAAGGTTTTTGTGGGTGATTCGTTGTTTGTGACAAAAACTCCAAACTCATGATCAACATGTGCTGAACTGTGTCATTTTGTAAAGATCAAGGCAGAAGCAATCGATCAGGAGACGGAGAAGAACAGAGGCTGTTTCCTATTGGCTGCTCTCATTTGTGGGCGGGGTTTTACACTTAACAAATAAAAGAGATGAGGTTATGATGAGGATCATTCCGACCAATCAGAACGCTTCGCTGCACCATTTCTGTTTGTTACTACCGTATTTTTTGGAGTATAAGTCGCACCAGCCAAAAAATGCATAACAAAGAAGAAAAAAACATATATAAGTCGCATTTTTTGGGGGAAATTTATGTATTTACTTATTTTAGAGACGGGCTAACCACTCTGCCACAGTCTGCCACAGTAACACAAGACACGAGATCAGGAGTCTGACCCACAACCTCTGGAAAAGTCTGGAATCGGACCATAGAGCCTGAAAAACGTCCATCCAAACGCTCATTTGTATCACGTTTCTCTCAAAGTCGTCTCGTGTTTACGTGGTGTTTTTAAATTCTGAATTAATTGTTCTGAATTAAAATATTCTCCTTCGAGTTTACATGGAAATAATGCTGTATTTTTTGTACTATAAATTGCTCCGAGTAAAAGTCGCATCAGCCAAAAAATGCATAAAGAAGAAGATATAAACATGTATAAGTCGCATTTTTGGGGGGAAATTTATTTATAAAATGAGAGACCAGGAGCCGACATTTCCTGTGTAAAGTGAAGTTGTAGTAAAAACAACAGAAGAGAACAACAGACTGTTAACGTCACATATGAACAGTTCTTCAGATAAACTATAACATAAACAACAGAACAGAACAACTTTAACCAAACTCTCCATCTCACTCCAAATCACTAAATCCATTCAATTCTTCATCCTCGGTGTCACTTCTGATCAACTCGGCCTCGACCTCCGGAGGTAAACCAGGGTGTCCCCAGGTTTGACTACCCCCAAATTTAAGACTTTTTAAAGACCTTTTTAAGACCACTTAAATGAAAATGAAGACCAACATCGCACTCATTATGTGGGCGAAAAACACCAGATCCAATTCTAATAATGACCATTACTCACTGCTTTAAATAACAAAAAATATTTTATTATAACATCTCATTTAGAACTCATGTACAGGCGAGTTTCATTGTTGACAAAAGCGCGCGTTGCATGCTGGGAATTATTTTGATCGGCGGAAAGAAACACTAATTCAACATGACGGACGGAGCGAGAAAGCACGTAAAGGGTATTGATCCCGGTTATTTATCCACTCTAACGGCAGAGGACCCAAGACCATTTGACCAGAAATTGGTCATAAGCATCGACGGACGACAAATCACCCTTTTCAACCCCAACAAAAGGTGGAACAAACCAAATTTCTGGTCAGAATCGCCAACTACCTGGACAAATATTCACTTTGGGCGATATCCACAATGACTTGGTGGAAACTCCTGGGTCATTCACAGCAGAAAAGATGAAAACCTCCAAGAGTCTCGATGTGTTGTTGAACTTGTTGGAGTCCACGGTTTGTTAGGATCTTCTACGTTTGCTCTGCGGATGTTTGAAAGTCGTTTAATTCACCGTTAGCGGTTCTTTTCACTCAGAATATAAAAAAGACATTTTCCTTCTTCCGTGCTTCTATTTGTGCATCCGATAATGCAGCAGGAATTTACCATTATCGGGGATAAATACGCGAGGTTACGCACTGTGTTTGACGCTACCGTGTTTCTTGCCTCCGACCAAAATATTTCCCAGCAGCAACGCGGGCTTTTAATAACAATGACGTCAGCTGAAACTCGCCTATATTGGTAGGCATTACTTGTAAAATGGCCAAAAAATCTATTATAACATTCTAACAAGACAAGCTAAGTATTGTTTGTCCCTACTCCAAATTAGACGTTCATTCATGTTACGTGATTTCACTTTTTTTTTTTTTCCCCTCCCTCTGTTTAACATTTGCGCTGCAGTGCTGTTGAGTTTACCAAAAAATAGACAAATGAAATTTCAGACCTTTGTGAAAAAAATAAAGACTTGGACAACATAATTTAAGACTTTTTTTAGGCCTTCATTTAGGAACATGAAATTTAAGACCTTTTTAAGACTTTTAAGACCCCGCGGCTGCACTGTAAACACAGCGCCGCTTCCTCTTCTGTGTCGCTGTCGTCAGACTCCGCGTCAGTTCCAGTTAGAATTATTCGGGCCTTTCTGAATCCCGACAGGACGGTTTCGGTGTCGCTGAAGTCCAGGCTTTGTCCATCCATCCAGTGACTCCAGGAAAGTTTCATGGTTCATCCTCCCGGCGTCACAAATTTCTTTCTCACTCCAAACTTTCTTTCTTGCAGTTTGTAAATCTGCAGAATCTGATTTTGTTTTTGTGTTCAGTCTTCTCAGTCGTCTTTATAAGTTTGTTTAAATGTTAAATTGTCCAGTGGTGCAGAAGTAACGGTGCGATCGACTGACATGACACAGACAGAACAGAGGCTCTTTCTGCAGGAGACATGCGCAGTAGAGCCAAGTGACAGTGGTACAGGAGGAACAGGAGCAGCAGATACTCACACACAAGACTAGAACCTCTCACCGCTTCACTCAAACATTTTAATGTAGATTTCACAGGAAACACCCAAACCATGAAAAAAAGTGCGACTAATAGTCCAAAACATACGGTAAGTTAGATCGTATCACTTTGGATCGATTGCTTCTGTCTTGGCATCCTGGATCTTGGCTGAGAATTTTTTTTCACTGCAAATTTTACACTTTTGACTGTTGAATTTGAGGCCTTGAAAATATTTGTGCTGAATATTTTAAAGGAGATTTTTTTTATATATATATTGAATTTTAAAGTTTGAAAACGTGCACTTAAAATTTCATTCACTGACATTCAGAATAAATAGTAATTCAAAAATTCAAAGTGTTTACTCCTCGTAAAATAAAGGTTAAATAAAAATAAACACATTTGTACATTCGCGATTTTTGTTATGAATGGAATCAGTGTGGAAGTCTGGCTCTGGATAAACCACAAGTAAAAGAAGACAGGCGAGAAAGTTATAGAAAGTACATTTGTTTGACGTTTCACAGGACTGGAGTTACTGTGAGTTACTGTTACTGCTGTAAATACTTCATAAATAAAAATAAAACACAATCACAAAGGTTGTTTCTTTAGGTAAGGTTTTGTCTCTGTGTTTAAAACCTGCTGCTGCTGATGGTGGAGACTTTTATTTTGAGTTTCCGTCCCAACTTTGAGCAAACCAAAAACAGCTCGAAAAATTACAAAATCACTTGAATCACTTAAAATCAGCTAAATTCTTGATCTGCTTTTCATCCTTTAATTGTTCTAAAAATCTCAGCAAAATACTTTTAATTTTTACTCTTATAAAGTAAATTTTTAAACACTTGGAAATCCTGGTTAAATAAAGGTGAAATAAAAATAAATACATTTGTACATTTATGATATTGTGTTTGATTTACGATATTCACTGTTGTGGTGAAGAGGAGCTGAGTCTTGATTTACCGTCATTTTCTGTTCCTCCCCTCACCTCTGGTCATGAGCTCTGGTCATGACCGAAAGGACAAAATCGACGATACGAGCGACACAAATGAGTTTCCTCTGCAGGGTGACTGGGCGATATGGAGCAAAAAATATATCTCGATATATTTTGTTATATCTCGATATCTGTATAGGAAAAATACCCCCCCAAAACTCCTGTAAAAACAAATCTGCCAAGTTCCACAAGGTTTTTTTATTTATTTTTTATGTAGGAACAAAGTGCTTCTGCCATATTTGATATTTGAAATGTGTGACTCTCACAAACGCTTTTCTCCATGGAGACGTTACTGCTCTGTCTGGAATGTTTCACAGTATGGACTAAACCAGGACTAAACCAGGACTAAACCAGGACTAAACCAGGACTAAAGCAGGACTAAAGCAGGACTAAAGCAGGACTAAACCAGGACTAAAGCAGGACTAAAGCTAAACCAGGACTAAAGGGACTAAACCTAAAGGACTAAACCAGGACTAAAGGACTAAACAGGACTAAAGCAGGACTAAACCAGGACTAAAGCAGGACTAAACTAAACCAGGACTAAACCAGGACTAAACCAGGACTAAACCAGCAGGACTAAAGGACTAAAGCAGACTAAACCAGGACTAAAGCAGGACTAAACCAGGACTAAACAGGACTAGGACTAAACCAGGACTAAACCAGGACTAAAGCAGACTAAAGCAAGGACTAAAGGACTAAAGGACTAAAGCAGGACTAAACCAGGACTAAAGGACTAAACCAGGACTAAACCAGGACTAAAGGACTGACTAAACCAGGACTAAACCAGGACTAAAGGACAGGACTAAACCAGGACCAGGACTAAACCAGGACTAAACCAGGACTAAACCAGGACTAAAGGACTAAACCAGGACTAAATTAAACCAGGACTTAAACTAAACTAAAGGACTAAACCATAAAGGACTAAACCAGGACTAAAGGGACTAAACCTAGACTAAACCTTACCAGGACTAAACTTATTTAGTCCTGGTAAAGCCTGTTTTAGTCCTGGTTTAGTCTCAGTTACAAGACAAAAATGCAAAAAATAAAAAAGGAAGGAAATGGAATGATTCAAGTGAAAGTGTGTGGAGTTTAAAAACACAGAGGAGCACTTCCTGTATCACCACATGATGACATCACAACAGAGAGTTTTCAGTTTGAGAGAAGATCTCCTTTAAATATAAGACAGTTACATATATATGATACACTGCTGCGTACTACTACTACTACTACTACTACTACTACTACTACTACTACTACTACTACTACTACTACTACTACTACTACTACTACTACTACTACTACTACTACTACTACTACTACTACTACTACTACTACTACTACTACTACTACTACTACTACTACTACTTGCTACTACTACTACTACTACTACTACTACTACTACTACTACTACTACTACTACTGCTACTACTACTACTACTACTACTACTACTACTACTACTACTACTACTACTACTACTACTACTACTACTACTACTACTACTACTACTACTACTACTACTACTACTACTACTACTACTACTACTACTACTACTACTACTACTACTACTACTACTACTACTACTACTACTACTACTACTACTACTACTACTACTACTACTACTACTGCTACTACTACTACTACTGCTACTACTACTACTACTACTACTACTACTACTACTACTACTACTACTACTACTACTACTACTACTACTACTACTACTACTACTACTACTACTACTACTACTACTACTACTACTACTACTACTACTACTACTGCTACTACTACTGCTACTACTACTACTACTACTACTACTACTACTACTACTACTACTACTACTACTACTGCTACTACTACTACTACTACTACTGCTACTACTACTACTACTACTACTACTACTACTACTACTACTACTACTACTACTACTACTACTGCTACTACTACTACTACTACTACTACTGCTACTACTACTACTACTACTACTACTACTGCTACTACTACTACTAGCTACTACTACTACTACTACTACTACTACTACTACTACTACTACTACTACTACTACTACTACTACTACTACTACTACTACTACTACTACTACTACTACTACGCTACTACTACTACTACTACTACTACTACTACTACTACTACTACTACTACTACTACTACTACTACTACTACTGACTACTATGAAGGTTACTACTACTACTACTACTACTACTACTACTACTACTTACTACTACTACTACTTTGTCTGCAGGAAATCCACGGACGCGCTTCTATTATTAATCCTGTGTTTCCTTGAATTCCCGTAGGAAGTGTAGGAAGTGTTTACCCTGCGCCGGGACCGAGCCTCCATCCAAAACAAAAAAAAAAACAAAAAAAAAGCTGCTTGTGTTTTTAAATATTTCTGGACGGGAACGACCCTCCTTTTCTCCCAGACGTTCCGAGGCGTGCAGCTCCCAGGTCCCATGATCCGCCGGGGGGAGGAGCTTCAGCACATTCCTCTGACTCCAGGACTCGAGGCTCAAGACCAAACCCAGGACCAGACCGGGACCAGACCAGACCAGACCGAGACCAGACCAGACCAGGGACCAGACCGGACCAGACCAGACCAGGGACCAGACCAGCCGGGACTAAACTGAACTCACCTGGACTTCTCTTCCGCTCAGGTACGGTGGACGGTGGTTTTTAAAGCTGCACTCTGGAGCTTTCTGGCGGAGGGTGCGTCACCTGCTTGTCTCCATGGAGATGTTTTTGCTTGGTCTAGAATGTTCCGCAGTGTAGATTAAACCTGGTCACAGGACTACGCCACATACCGGGTCAGATCTGTGGAGAGGCGCCCCCGTTCACAGAAAGAATTATTGTATTTTGTTATTATTAAGGCAAAAAAACTATAGAAGTTTTTTTTTTTTTTTATTCCAACCTAACATAATTAATTTAATATTAATTTGAAATTTTTTGTATTTTTTATATAATATTTATAATTGAAATGAACATAATATATTCCAAAATAATTGGTAAAAAAAACAGCTCTGAGTCGTCTTGAAGCAACAATTTTACTTTGGATTTCATTAATATTATTGCTTAATTTTTTTGTCCTGTTTTAGAACTGGTTTAGACCTGGTTTAGTCTTAGTTTAGTCCTGGTTTAGTTCTGGTTTAGCCCTTGTTTAGTTCTGGTTTAGTCCCTGGTTCAGTCCTGGTTTAGACCTGGTTTAGACCTGGTGTAGTCCTGGTTTAGAACTGGTTTGGTCCTAGTTTGGTCCCTGGTTTAGTCTCGGTTTAGTCCTGGTTTAGACCTGGTGTGGTCCTGGTTTAGACCTGGTTTAGACCTGGTTTAGACCTGGTTCAGTCCTGGTTTAGACCTGGTTTAGACCTGGTGTAGTCCTTGTTTAGTCCTGGTGTAGTCCTGGTTTAGTCCTGGTGTAGTCCTGGTGTAGTCCTTGTTTAGTCCTGGTGTAGTCCTGGTTTAGTCCTGGTTTAGTTCTGGTATAGTCCTGGTTTAGTCCTGGTTTAGTTCTGGTATAGTCCTGGTTTAGTTCTGGTTTAGTCCTGGTTTAGTCCTGGTTTAGTTCTGGTATAGTCCTGGTTTAGTCCTGGTTTAGTCCTGGTTTAGTTCTGGTATAGTCCTGGTTTAGTTCTGGTATAGTCCTGGTTTAGTTCTGGTTTAGTCCTGGTTTAGTTCTGGTATAGTCCTGGTGTAGTCCTGGTTTAGTCTTGGTTTAGTCCTGGTTTGGACGTTGGTTAGTGTAACTTTCTGGATGCACTGTTGCCATGGATACAGGAAACATAAACAGCCCAAATTAGCAAAACTTGAATTTCCCCCAAATTTCCCTCGGGATCAACAGAGAAACTCTTTCTCACACACAGAATCCAGGACTGTTCCAAACTGTTCCAAACTGTTCCAAACTGCTTCCAAACTGTTCCAAACTGCTCCAAACTGCTCCAAACTGTTCCAAACTGCTCCAAACTGTTCCAAACTGTTCCAAACTGTTCCAAACTGTTCCAAACTGTTCCAAACTGTTCCAAACTGTTCCAAACTGCTCCAAACTGCTCCAAACTGTTCCAAACTGTTCCAAACTGTTCCAAACTGTTCCAAACTGCTCCAAACTGCTCCAAACTGTTCCAAACTGTTCCAAACTGTTCCAAACTGTGCTCTGTCTTTAGTCAAAATCCCAAAATATTTTCGGTTTAAAAACTGCTCACTCAGCCACAGCTGGAACAGAAGTGACACAACTGTTGATTCTGTTTGCCTCCTCCAGACCTGAAGACCGAGTCCAGAGCCCAGTCCAGACCTGGTCCAGAGAAGATGACCGCTGTACGAGGACTCCTCCTGGTGGCGCTGCTGGTGGTGGTTGGATCCGACCCGGCCCCCGAGGTCCCCAAGGTCCCCGAGGCCCCCGTGGTCCCCGCCCTCCCCGTGATCCCCGCCGTCCCCGTGGAGACCCCTGTGGAGCCCCTTCTGTCCGGGGAGGGGCAGCCCTGTGCGCGGGGGGCGGGGCCTCGCTGTGGGGCGGGGCTTGAGTGCGTCCGCGCCGACAAGAAGAACAAAGTGGGCGTGTGCAGGTGTAAGAGCGTGCACGAGGTGAGTGTGCACGTGCGCACTATGACCTTTGACCTACTGACCTGGAGTTTGGGGTTTGATCCCTGGACTCAGCAGCACAGTACTGATGTTGTGTCCTTAAGCAAGACACTTTCAGTGTTTGGACTGAACGCTGTTTGATCATAAAACATAGAACACAAAGAAAGTGAAAATATAACGTCTCTAAAGGCTTTTTGTTTTATCATATTTGTATTTCAGAATCTATTATGTCGTATCATTTCACTGAACATTTAAATCAGACGCTCAACAGGAAAATAATGTGGAAAAGACTAAATAGAAAAACAGGAAAATGTTAAAGATTGAAAGAGCGATTTTAAAACTTCATCCAGAGGGGATCAGACATGTTTTCCGGCGGCAGGAGCTCACTGATCCTCAGGTTGGAGGTTCGAATCCCACTCTCCACATAAACGTCACTGGTTGATCCGTCACGTCCACTGACCCACAGGTTGGCGGTGTGATTCCACTGTGTCCTTGGGCAGGACACTTCACATCCCTCGTGTCTGCGTACACCGGTGTGTGTGTGTGTGTGTGTGTGTGTGAGTGTGTGTGTGTGTGTGTGTGTGTGTGAATGAAGGGGTGTGTGTGAGTTGTTGTAAAATGCTTTAAGAGCCTTGAAGGTGGAAAATCTCTGTATAAAAAATGTGACCATTTACCATTTTGTTCATGTAAACCAGGGGTCATCAAACTAAGGCCCGCGGGCCAACTCCGGCCCTCCACACACACACACACACACACACACACACACACACACACACACACACACACACACACACACACACACACACACACACACACACACACACACACACACATGAACTGGCCCCATGAGGCAAACCTCAAACTTGTCATGGCCTATTTTATAATAACACGTCTGTATCTTATTTTTGTAGATTTTTTCAATTTAAAACTGAAGTATTTACGGAAGCCGAGAGGGGTCATAACAAACTCAAACGCCGCAACAAATACAAACGCTACAACACAAACGCAAAAGCCACAACACTTTAAAAAGCCACAACACATCAAAAAGCCACAACGGAAGTGACCGTGGGACTCTATTATAATGCAAATGCCACAACAAATACAAACGCTACAACACAAATGCAAATGCCACAACACTTTAAAAAGCCACAACCCATTAAAAATCCGCAACGGAAGTGACCGCGGGACTCTATTTTCCGACGGACTGATCAAGCAGAGTAAAGTGAAGAAGAAGAACTACAACGTGAAACGAACAATGATAAAACAAAAAATTACTTTTACTTACGTTTCTAACTTCTCTGTTCCTTTACTTTTCACGTTGTAGTTCTTCTTCTTCACTTGCTTCTTGATCGGTCCGTCGGAAAATAGAGCGTCCCACGTGTCATTTCCGTTGTGTCTTTTTGTTTGTGTGATTTGTTGCGGCGTTTGCGTCTGTTGTCTCGGCGTCCGTAAGTATTTATATTTATATTTAAATAATAATATGACGTATTTACAATTGCTGCCGAATTTTCGTCACCTGACAAACTTGAGATCGACACAGACACAGAGTTCTGTAGTGCCGAGACAGAAAAATGTCTGGTGTTAAAAGTAGGAAAAGTTGAAAGAGAGTGCCGAGTTTTTATTTTTGTGTTCAGTGTGAGGCGTGTGCAGTTTGTCTAACATGTAAAGAAAGTGTGGAGGTTTTCAAAGAATCTAATCTGCGTCGTCAGGGTCAAACTGTTTTGTTACACGACCGAACCCGAACCCGGCCCCCGTCGCAGTCAGGAGCCGGAATGTGGCCCCCAGAGAGAAAAAGTTTGGTGACCCCTGATGTAAACACACAACACAGATCAGAGCATCGTGTTTCTGATCACTGCAGTAACTGTCTGTGTAAATGTCAAACCTTCATCTCAAACATTCCTCTAAACGCACAGACACCAAAAAGTAGTCCCTCCCTCCCTCCTGCTGCTGCTGCTGTAGATGGAGTGATACGCTGAGATGCAGGCGTTGTTTGTCTGTGTTTCAGACGGTTTACATTCCTCGCATGATGTTTCAAAAACACGCTGAGTTTGGTTTGGTTTATCTGACCTTCAGCGGCCGAGACCCACTGGACGCAGCCAACAGCAGCAAACTCACACATCTAACGACAAAACTCAACATCTAACGACAAAACTCACACATCTAATGACAAAACTCAACATCTAACGACAAAACTCAACAATTAACGACAAAACTCACACATCTAACGACAAAACTCAACACATCTAACGACAAAACTCAACAATCTAACGACAAAACTCAACATCTAACGACAAAACTCATCATCTAACGACAAAACTCATCATCTAACGACAAAACTCATCATCTAACGACAAAACTCACACATCTATCAACTGCGCTGTGTTCTGATTGGCTCTGACGGTGCTGTGTTCTGATTGGTTCTGACGGTGCTGTGTTCTGATTGGCTCTGACCTGTGCTGTGTTCTGATTGGCTCTGACCGTGCTGTGTTCTGATTGGCTCTGACCGTGCTGTGTTGTGATTGGCTCTGACCGTGCTGTGTTCTGATTGGCTCTGACCGTGCTGTGCTGTGATTGGTGCAGGTTTGTGGCTCAGACGGCGTCACCTACAAAACCCCATGTGCCCTGAAGAGCGCCAACGACAGGAGAGACCCGGAACTGCAGCCGGTCACTGTCAAAGGGAAAGGACGCTGCCCCTCCGGTCAGAACACTGTGTTTTTACTACTATTATAAGTACTACGACTACTACTATTACTACTACTACTACTACTACTACTACTACTACTACTACTACTGCTACTAGTACTACTAGTACTGCTACCACTACTACAGAAATGTGTATTTCTACTAAAGAAATGAGTACTACTACTGTAGAAAGATGTACTGATACTATACTGCTACTACAGAAACGTGTCCTACTACTCCAGAAATGAGTACTACTACTACTATTAAAGAAATGAGTACTGCTACTACAGAAACATGTACTGCTACTACAGAAACGTGCACTGGTACTAGAGAAATGTGTACTGGTACAACAGAATTTAGTACTCCTACTACAAAAACATGTACTGCTAC